GCCGGGCTGCCCCCCACCCGCCGCGGTGGAGGACCTGTCCAAAGTGTCGGACGAGGAGCTGCTGCAGTGGAGCAAGGAGGAGCTGATCCGCAGCCTGCGGCGCGCCGAGGCGGAGAAGGTGAGCGCGATGCTGGACCACAGCAACCTCATCCGCGAGGTGAACCGCCGCCTGCAGCTGCACCTGGGCGAGATCCGCGGGCTCAAGGTGAGCGCGGGGCGGGCGGGGAGCGGGGCGCCCCCGGGGAGGTGAGGCCAGGCTAACTTCCCCTCCTGCCCGCAACAGGTGATCCTTTCCTTTCTCCCAGCCAGCACCCCCGTCCCCAGCCCCCCACCCTCAGCCCTTTGCAAACTTTTCCAAACTTTGGAGGCTCTTGCTCTCCTCCTCCTCCCCACATCGGTGCGCCATCGTTGAGCTCTCCCTGTGTCCGGGGAGGGAGGGGCGGGGACCAAGGATGCTGAAAGGCGGGGAGGGAGGGGACCGGCATGGGCATGCGGAACCTTTAATTTCCTAGTGAACCTGGAAGGTCAGCGCTTTCCACAGCTGGGTTGCAGTCCGTTGGGGGAAAGGACTGTGAGGGAGTGAGTCCAGGGAACGCATTCTTGTCTTTGGAGGTCAGGGATACGGTTGCTCAGGCGCCACCAGCTCTCCGGGGGACAGAGGGCCAGGAAAGGGCGCCACTGCCATGGGCAAGGGCTGGTGCTGCCAGGAGAGATGTGGGTGCCACACTCAGAGCTGGCGTGTGTCACCCGGTATAGAGGAACCCAAATTCTCCCATTAGCTCCTGTATTTTTCTGTTTTTGACTTCAGGTGGCGTTGCCTTGGGTTGACATATGCCCCTCCCCAATTCATCTCCAATTTGATTTAATTTTATCCAGCATGGGAGGGAGCAAGGGGACTCGGTATGGAAGTCTCAGGGTTTTGAAAGCGTATCCCAAGGACCTGTCTTTCTTACTGAGCTAGCCCTTCCTCTGCTGCTATAGGAAGGGAGAGAAAAGCCCTGAACCCCGCTAACTTTCCCTGCTCCTTGGGGAGCTCAGTATGTGCCGGCAGCGCGCCCGCCTGGCTGCAGCAGACTGCTGGCCGGGAACCGCCCTGCCGGCGGCGTGCGCCGCAAACTTCCTCTCCTTGCAGCCTGCGCTGGTGCCTCCTGGTATTCCTTCCTCTCATTGTTCTGCTTTTGTTTATAGGAAGCCTCACAAATGAGATCACTGTAAGGACTTCAGGGAGCAAATTCCCACAAGCACATGCTGTTCTATCCCGTTTCCACTCCCAGTCCACTTCTCAGGCTGTAGACGCGGTTAATCTCAGTGTTCCAGCTCTGGAATTCTGGGGCAACGAGGACTTGGAGGGTCGCCATGCCCAAGGCTCATCTGTGTGCTCCGCCCAGTCTTGGCGGAAATGGCTCTCCTCTGACGCCCAAACTCACTGTCACATAGTCCCTAGTGTGGGTGCAGGTAGGGAGATCTCACAACCAGAAAAATCCCAAGGCTCGTGCTCTCTTGTGGTTTAATTCATTACTGATGGAGTATTACTAAACACCTAGTTCTTTGGAGAATAAAGGCATGTTAGTGTAGTTGGGCAGATCATCTCAGAGGTGCGTTTGAATGTGGAATCATCAGTCCTCAAGAGGGTGAACTTGGGTCATTAATTCCTCAGCTCCTCTTTTTATTTATTGATAAAATGCAAATGCTAATCATTTTGTAGGCTGTTGCGACAATAAGTTATGGTAATGTAGAGGGAGGTTCTCTTCTGGATTTGACCACAAAAAAATGGTAGTTCTTGTCACCAGGGGAGGACCATTTAAAGGGTATAGCTGTGTGTCTCCAGGATCTGGGTTTCTTAAACAAAGTCAGATGGTGGTATTTGTTTGTCACCCTTCAATTCCATGGTTTGAACCATAATGTCACTTGGAAGAGTTTTTAATGAATTAATTCTAAAGATTTTATTAGTATGTAGTTTCAACATAATGGCTCAGAAATCTTTCAAAGTTCCTTTAGGTTGGGTGGATTGACTGTATATGCATGGGTTTATGTGAGTCATGCCGGGTGCATCGTTTATATTTCAGTAGCTTCATTTAGAGAAAGAGCTATTAGGCCAGTTAAGTGCAGTTATACCCTAATAAGGGATTCTTGTAGTCTAGACTCAACCTGGAAAGAAGACTTTCTAGGCTATTCCTTATCAGGCTCAGAAATGATGGGAGCTGGTTACTTTCTGATGGGCCTCCGCTCCTCCTTTCATGTCATCCCTGGGCAGCTGCAAGGTAGACTTCAAGGCCTCTGGCCCGCCCCAAGGGTGCTGTGGTTTTAACATCTGCTGAGAGGCCAGCCTTCTCCCTTCTCTTCATCATATCAGCTCAGAGCTCAGCCCCTGTGCACCTTTAGTGGTTCATACATGTGGTTGATTGGGTGAATGATAGACACCTTTATTTATGTTGGTAACTGGAAGAAAAGAAGAAAGGACCCCTCATGTTGGATGGTTTGGCACTCTCAGTTGAGGTCTGTAAATACAGGGTAATGAAGACCTCAGCACTTTTCATGTTTATGCCCCTTTCTATGAGCCTACTTTGAAATTTCATCTGAATACTTTTTAAAGCGGGTGGGTGTATTGCAGCTGTAGACATGGGCGATGGAAGCCGGAGTTCTTTTCTTTCTAGAGACCCTTGGCCGACTTGGTTTAAACGTTCTTGAGAGGCAGAGCAATGTGGAGGCAGTGAAAAGATGCAGGGTTTGGAGTCTGATGATTTGGTCACCTTGAGCAATTGCTGACCTCAGTGAGCCTTAGTTTTCTTATCCACTCAATGGGTGTTTCAATTCCACTTGAGATTTCACAAGAATTTTGTAATACATCGATGAAGAAATCCCAGTGAGGTTACATAGCTGTGGCAAGGTCACACAGATATAAAATGTTCCAAATGGCCTTTCTTTCTTTTCTTTTGACTAGTTGACGTTCTTTGCTTAGCATGTGCGGTCCTGAAGGGAGATTCTGGTTAGGATTTTCATGTAAGGAATTGAATTCTTGAGCCCCAAGTCTGTGGACTAGTGAGCATATACCAACATTCAGGTTATTCTGACCCAGGAAACCTGGTGGGAGGTCCAGTTTGGGATAACTAAATTTCCGTTGACTTGTCATCTTGCTTTGCATTAATTTTCCTCCGCGCTCCTTAATGTACCATCCCTCTGCCTGACAATGAAGAAAAAGAACAGGTTAAAAATGATTTTTCATTAATGATAGATACAGTGCTTGCTAATCTCCAGGCATACGATTGAAATTTTGGGTGATATTCTGTAAGGTGGACTTAAGCTTTTAAAAGTCCACATTAGACTTAGATAATGTCTGGTGGTCTGGGACAAGGTTAAAAAGGATGCCCAGTGTTTTGGAAAAGAAGGCCCAAGGTTCAGTGCAACATATTTGAAGATACTGCATTGCAAGGTTATTATCATGCCGTTTGCTTTAGCTGTTTGCCAGAAGGCTAAAGAAATAGCTCAAAATTGGAGAGTAAATGATATGATAAAGTTACTACTAATAAGAAGAATCCATGATAAAGAAAAGTGAATTGGCCCATACCTGCCCTTTCTACTCCATTTGGAACACTGAGAAGTGTGCTTACTTCCTTTGGAAAGGGCACTAATGCCAGAAAACCCATGGGAGCACCAGTGCGTTTTACTTTTCAGTTTTGTTGAAATCAGGAATAGTTGTAGCACAATCACAGGGAGGTATTTCAGAAGCAAATTCACTTAGATGAAGAGGAACATGACTTAAACTTTCTATCAAAAGCCAAGATTAAACTAAATGTTGGCATACTTTTTGAAGCTTAGAAAGATTAATTTTGTTTAATATTATTTTCCCTGAGTGTCCACAGCTTCTGATTTCCTCTAATGTAACAGTATCAAGGTTAATTTATTCTTTTACTATTGTGGGAGATTCCAACACAGCCAAGGCTTGCTGAAGACAATAAGGATACCTTTCTCAGTAGCTATAACCGTAGTCTTTTTTGATCACAGTTCTAGAGCTTTAAAGGGTCAATCAATCCACCATGCTACATTGTTCTCTGTATGCAAGGCACCATACCAGGAATGGCATTTATACAAAGAAAGACATGGGGATAAACCTTAAAGTACCTACAGTGAAAAGGAGGAAACATTAACATGAGATGACTATTCTAGCTGATGTATGTTCTAGGAATTAAGCAGTGAGTGGGGAAGTTACTTCGTTCATTCATTGGTGGGTGCTTTTTTATCGTTCGGGAAAACTTCCTTGGGGAGTGTCTTCTCTTAGGGGAGGAAATGTGGGGAAGAAGATGACAAGTTTTAGTTGACATACACTAATATAATCAAGGCTCATAATTTGTTGACAGAGAAAACTAAAGGTGGAAAGGTAGGGGAGGCCTTTCAGGTCTGGTCAAGGGGTTTATTCATTTTCCCTGGCAAAATGAAGGTGACAAGACTTGATAAGCAGGATGGTCTAATATGCAGAGAGGGGTTGGTTTTTGTTTGTTTGTTTGTTTTTGTTTTCCTTTATAAAGTTTCCTTCCTTTCTTCCTTTTAAGCATCCTCAACAGAGTCTCATGCTGAGCTCTTCCCCCAGCCTCTGCAATCAGCCAGGGTGTCAGGCATGTCTGTGCACACCTGGCCTATAGTGGTCCGCCTTGTAACCGAACCTCCATCTCCCACCGACCTCTAGCATTGCAGAGCACTGCCTTACCACTGTGCCACCATGGCTCACACCTGCAGGAAGTGTTTTTGAAGATCAGTCTGGCTGAGGATAGCTTCGATTTGAGTGGGTGAGGGAAGACAGAGAGTGGGTAGACCAAGGTCTCACTTGAAATCACAAAGTGGCAGTGAGAATCAAAAAGAAAAGGTGGGCATTAGAAACAAGGAAACAGAATTATTGGTAATGCTGACTTGGGACTGCAGTTGAAACCAAGCTGAGCAGGCTTCTTCCTCAAGCCCAGGAATTCACGTCTATCTTAGGCCTCATGACTGCCTGGAAGAGAAGGACATGGTTGGCAGATGATTTATAGTTTTTTTTTTTTTTTTCCTAGTCAATTAGCAGGGAAACATTGGAATCTACCTAAGTGTAAGGGAATTAAATCCTCTCTCTGAGTGCCTCTAATTCTGAATTGCAGGATGGTGTTTCAAGACCAGAGATTTTTCAGGCTTCATATAACAGGCAAAATCTTAGGTAGCAGCCCTGTACCTGCCCCTGTTACATTTCTGCCAAACCAGAGTGCTTCAAGGAATAGTTGGCCCCTGTAGTATATGACTAAATGGAGAGTAAGTGGGAGACTTCATGATGCATTTTAAAACTCCCTGGTTTCAGGTTATCTATGAGGGATGCTGTGTTCTAGATACACAGAGGTGACCAAAGCAGATGAGGTCTCCATTATTATGACTCTACTCTAGGGAGGATGTGGACTTGAAGTAATAGGCAACACTCATGCAGATGTAGTTACAAATTGCAGTAAGTACGGCAGAGGAAAAGTCTGAAGCAGGGAGAATGGATGAGCTTGGGAGTGGACCTTATTTGGAATGGCTTCTGTGGAAGAGTGACTTACAATGAGAACTATTGGTTGTAGTAGGTTGGGGGAAAGTGTTCCAAGTGAAAGAGGGGAAGGACTTGTCCTTGAGGACCTGCAATGAGGCCACTGTTGTTGATGCCCAGTGCTTGATGAGAAGGGGGCATTTTCCCTTTCTCCAGTGCTACCAGGAATCCAGTCCACCCTGTCCCTCCATGTAGAGGAGCCTACTAACCTCCTAGAAGATTTCTACTCTCCACCTTATCTTGTCTTGCACCCTTCCCTGCTCCTCCCCAACCCCAGGTTCTCATAAAGAGCCATGGGATGGCTGCAAGTGGCACATGCTGAGAGGTGCAGGTTGGGAGGGGAGTTTGAAATATTAAGAACTCAGCACTGCCTTTGTTAAATGTGAGATACCTGGGTGCCACCCAGGTGGAGGTGGCTTGTGCAGTGGATGTGCAGTTCTGAAATGCTACTAGAGGGCAATTGTGCATTTCCCTGGTGGGGGAATGGAACTGCTCATCCCTGTCATGGACTGAAAAAAGAAGCAGTGTTGCCTACTCTGTTGAAAGGTCTCAGAGCTCTTGAGCTTTTCATAGGTCAAAAACAGCCATCTTTCATTCTCGAGGGTGGGACAGGGAAGCCTTGTTTTTCACCTGACAGATTTCCTGTTAATTAACTGGCTACTGCCCAAGTACTGGCTGGATGACTTTGGACAAGTGAAGCTTTGTGAGGTCCAGTTTCCCCTTCTGTAGAAGAACCATAATTATTATCCCCTAAGTATTGCTATTTTGTTGAAAGTTAGATGAGATCATGCAAGTCAAGTATTGTGCAGGGAATGAAACCAGTACCTGTTAGTTTAATTTTTTGGAGAGCTGCAATTTTGTGGCTTCTTCTCACTCTCTCACCTGCTCTTCTAACCTCACATAGAATTCAGCAGTTCCAGACTCCCTGTCTTGAACGGTTGTTTCTCTCCTTTCAGGATATCAACCAGAAACTCCAGGAGGACAACCAGGAACTGAGGGACCTCTGCTGCTTCCTGGACGATGACCGGCAGAAAGGCAAGAGGGTGTCCCGGGAGTGGCAGAGACTGGGCCGCTACACCGCCGGGGTGATGCACAAGGAAGTGGCCTTATACCTGCAGAAGCTGAAGGAGCTGGAGATGAAGCAGGAGGAGGTGGTGAAGGAGAACATGGAGCTCAAGGAGCTCTGTGTGCTGCTGGATGAGGAGAAGGGCGCGGGCTGTGCTGGCAGCCGCTGCTCTATCGACAGCCAGGCCAGCCTGTGCCAGCTCACAGCCACCACTGCGCCCTACGTGCGGGACGTGGGCGACGGCAGCAGCACCTCCAGCACTGGCAGCACCGACAGCCCCGACCACCATAAGCACCATGCGAGCAGCGGCAGCCCTGAGCACCTGCAGAAGCCCCGGAGTGAGGGCAGCCCTGAGCATGCCAAGCACAGGAGTGCCAGCCCTGAGCACCTACAAAAGCCCAGGGCCTCCGGGACCCCAGATCACCCAAAAGCACTCAAAGGACCTAGCCCTGAGCACCAAAAACCCTTGTGCAAGGGCAGTCCTGAACAGCAAAGGCACCTGCACCCAGGGAGCAGCCCTGAAACACTGCCTAAGCACATGCTGACTGGGAGCCCAGAACACTTCCAGAAGCACAGGCCAGGGGGCAGCCCCGAGCATGCCAGGCACAGTGGAGGGAGCCCAGAGCATCTTCAGAAACATGCCCTTGGTGGGAGCCTGGAGCATCTACCCAGAACCAGAGGCACCAGCCCTGAGCACCTCAAACAGCATTATGGGGGGAGCCCTGATCACAAACACATAGGAGGAGGTGGTGGAGGCGGGGGTGGCAGCGGCGGAGGCAGCAGGGAGGGCACCCTCAGACGGCAGGCGCAAGAAGACGCGTCCCCACATCACCGGAATGTCTACAGTGGCATGAATGGTGGGTCAGTACGTGCTGGGGAACTGCTTTATCTGGGGCAACTCTGTAGAGTTATGAATGAAGAAAAGCTTTCTGGCCATTTTAGAGAGTGATGGGGCTGGCCAGGAGGTCAAAGGAGGAGCAAACCTTTGTTCCCAAATAGTGATGTGTGTTCTTTTTTCCGCCCTGATTTGTATTTATACAGTGTATATGGTTACAGTTAAGCAAGCCAAGACAAGGTTGGGGATTAGGGAGAGAGAGGTACAATAATTTCTTAGGGCCCTAAGTTATCAGGGTCAAATTGGGTGCTTTCATTTTGAACTTGATCTATGATTCTTTCATCTGAACTTGAGCATTTTCCTGCTTGTGTGCTATTTCCTGCTAGGGCTCACTTGTAGAATGGTAAACAAAAAGATTTTTAATCCAGTAAATAGCTTGTGTGCAGGAAGAAATGAATATTTATTATGAAAAGCAGTAACAACATTAAAAACAAATATGGTGTCCCTAAGCAGGCTTGATGCTGGTTTCTCTGAATGCCTGTGAATATACCGGAATTTATCTTGAGGACATCTTCATGGTGTTGGGTGCCACAGTAGCATGAATCTTTGGTTTCTATTTGCATCTAAAAATGCATCAAATAATTTCCTTTCCTACTCACTAAAAATTCACCCACACTCTCACCAAACTCCCTTAAACATATTCTGAAGTGTGTGCTCATTAACATTACAAGACACATCTTCCCTTTTTAAATGTGTTCGGACGCTCCTTTGGTTTCCAAAGTATAACATCCACTGCATTTGCTGAGGTGGCTCCAAACCTGAGCTTTAAAACCTTTTGAAAGAGGCTTAATTTCCTACATCTTGATTCTGAAAACACTTTGAACTCAAAAGAGAAAGAAATCATTTCTTAAACAGAAAAAAAAAAGAGAGGAAACCTCAAACCCCTGCGATCTTTTTATGTTACCTATGTTTGAGTTGGAGTGGAAATGACTGGTTTTTATAAACTGAGTTATTTTTTATTATTCCAAATATCTGAAGTTTTTCACTTTATTTGAAAGCTGCTCTAGAGTCTGTGTAGCCAGCTCTGAGCAGTGGTGGAGGGGCTGCCAATTTTAGCAGTGACATGAAGGGGTAAATTTTCAATATTGTACTTGGGGATTTACCTGTTGGATTCCATTTCATCCTAATCCTTTTCTCGTGGTGCTGAAAATTGACTCCTGAAGCTTGACTTCAAATGCATTCAGTGTTCTTTTAAGCGCAGAGGGAACTAGAAAGGCTGGGGAGGATAGTCAGCTGCTCTTTCTCTGTGGTGTTGGTAGGCAGAATCTGGGAGAAGCCAATTCACCAGCTGTATTGGGATTCCTGGCTGACTCTGTTGACTGAACCTTCTTTCACTCAAAAGCAGGCGGAGACATTGTTCTGATTGCTATGGGCAGCCATGGTTTCGCAGCTCTCAATGAGAAGAAAGTAATTTTAAGAGATACTTGTTGGCTACTATCATGAGATGGGCCATGACACTTGTCTTTGGCAGGGGGCTGGGGAGGATGGCTTAGTAAAATGAATGACTTCCATTTCTTGATCACTTTTTAATGAGTTTGAAGAGTAAACATGCACTATTTAAAGGAAACTTCTTAAACTCAACTAAAAAAAGGGGGGGCAAGTGGGTCACTTAAAATAATTTTTCTCTTTATAAAAGGGATGGCAAGTGGGTCACTTAAAATAATTTTTCTCTTAATAAAGGGGCTCATTTAAATAAGGAACTCCTCTAATTTAATTAATGCATAATTGATCTTATAAGAAAGGTTTTTAGATTCAATTTTGAAAAACAATGCCTTGTATAAAGTAAGGTATATTTGTAGCTAAAGAAGACATTACATTACATTTATTATTACCTGGATTCAGATGAACTTAGTGGGTCAGACAAATATTTCCTAAAATTTAACAATTAGTTACAGATTTGATGTAACAGATACATTGTTATAGAATGACACAGCAGTTCAATTCCTGTGCCTCCTTCAAATTTTTCATTCTTAAGTGACAAATCTGCTGTCAGTTGACACCCTCATCAGAGTGTATTTGCAGTTCATTTGCATCACATTTTTTATTTCAGTAATTAATTGGAAAATGAGGTGGCACAATGAAATGTTTATGGATCATCAGCCTATAAACTTGGGCTTTAGTAGCTTGTATTTATCCTGCCGTTACAAATTAATTTTTGATATGGATGGTGAGACAGATGTGCTTTTTCATATTTTTAAATCCCCATCCCATTCGAGTCACTGGTGTATAAACAGCTAGGAACCAGTAGCAAGGTTAATCCCAAATTTGCAGATTTGCTGAGTTATTTCCAGCTTCTTTCTGTGTGGGGTTCACATAACACATGAGTGTTGTGGATGAGGACGTATATGTTTTTTGTGTGAAAGAACAGCTGGGGGAAGTATGTCTGCATGGTGGCTGACTGAAACAGAATATGTATTAGCAGGATATTGTCCTACCTATAAGAATATACGTTCTCTCCAAAAAACATACATTTGTTCCCACTGAAGGGGTGTCAGTGAGAAAGACTGCTGTTTTAGTTGACTGCCTTGAGCATCTTTAAACCTTCTTATGCGTTCAATTACAAATGCACAGGATGAAGTAGTTAAACTTTTGGTTGAAAGAAACTTGTTGGCTTAATCTCCAACTGAAATGCAAAGTTGAATCCCAGGCATGCTTCCTCTCAAAAATATCTACACCTGTACAACCATTTCTTATTTCATAGCTAATTAAAAAACAATAGGACCAAGAACATAACAAACCTCTTTGACTTAAACAAAATCCTTCGGAATGCATTTATTTCCTTAGAAGTTATTATTCCACTATTTTCTAGTTTGTAGAGAGTTCTGTTTTCAAATGGGATGTAGACTGAACACTTACCACATGTGGACATTAAAGCATTTGCACATTCATTCAAGTTACTTGTTGTATTTCATGTACTTATGTAATTAAGTAATTGAATAGCCACTGCTAGCTATAAATGTACACACACCAACAGCCTCAACTCTTGATTCCATTTGCCTTTTTGAGCACATTCCAGCGAACAATGGCCTCTTGCTCTCCTTTAACATCACCCTTGCCCATGAGAGCACACAGGAGGAAGTACTCACTTGTGTTAGACAAGACTCACTTAGAAGCACTTTAGCTTTGCTGGGATGCGATGTTAGCGTGTGTCTTCCTCCTGAAAGCTTTGTTACTTTTCTTCTTTCATAAGACGGAAAGAGCAGGCTGTTTCTTCCAATGCTTCCTCCAGTTCAGGATTTCTCAACAGTGCTACTATTGAAATTTTGGAGACAGTTCTTTGTTGTGAGGTGCTGTCTTATGCCTTTTAAGAGGTTTAGCAGCACCGCTGGGTTGCACCCACAAGAAATACTGAGCCAGGACTGGGTAAGGCTGGGGTGGATCACAGTGCCAATATTCTGTAAGGGGTGCTGTATCTCTCTCTCTGTCTCTCTCACTCAAAAAAAAAAAAATTAAAGAAACTTAAAAAAAAATTCTCAAAAATGTCTCAGGATATCGCCAAGTGTTCCAGAGTGGACTGTAGGCAAATTCACATGTTTTAGAGCAGTGGTTTTCAATCTGGCTGAAGATTAAAATTACTGTAGTAATTTTGAAAAGTACCAGTGGCTGAGCCCCACACTCAGAGATTGAGTAGCATTGGACCTGGATACTTAGCAAAAAGAGCTTCTCAGGTGATTCTGATGAGCAAACCAGGTGAGAACCACTGCCGGAAATGAGTGATCCTTATGTAAGAAGGGTTGGTGTGAATAAAGATCTCAAACATCAAGGCTCCCTGGGAAGAAGGTAAAGGTTTCCTTTGTTCAACTCCAAGACTGAGAAGGGCTGGCCTTAGCTGGTACTGTAAAACTTTATCCAGTCTCAATTCTAGACCAAGGCTTTCTAATAATGTACTACTACTTTGGAGTGTGGGTTGTAAATCTGCTTTTTATGGTGATTGAGGTTGCAAAGTTAGTTTTAGGAAAACCCTAGCATATGAGCTGGTTTCAGGCTATTTTACTTTTTAAGGCCTTCACATTCAGATAGAAAAAGAAGTGCACGGGTTTCTAACCCCTTGATGGTGGATGTCTGTGATGTATTTGGATTGTGCAATGCTTGCAATGCTAATGAGTATTTCCCATGAGGGAATACTGCATTTCAAGTCTCCCACTTTATAGGTTTTACTCTGAATTTTAAGACTGCTCCCTGTTCTCTGTTGAGGTTATTAATGAGTCAGTGAAAAATGCTGATAACACAAAGTGGCCTTGTCTACTACGGGTAAGATTACCTGCATATGGAAGAACCCAGCAGGATTTTTCTGAAGCAAGGTTGTCTATGAATTAAGTAGTGGTGCACTGTAGCATGAATAATAGCTCTCATAAATTTATTTTGCTAAGAAAAAGTCAAAATCTCACTTACGAGTGAATTTGGACAATAGAAATTGAATGTCTCTGGAGAAAAATTGCAACAGTAGTTTTGGAACACTGGATTGTGAGGTCCTGTGAGAATATTTTCTGTTGTGTGAACTGATACATCAATGGTTAAAGAAATAGATAATGTTTTTTGTTCTTTAAGCTTCAATATGGCAATTTGGTAATCTTATATACTTTGGTAGGACATCAATTTAAGAAGTTTTGAAAAATATTAATCTCTTACACAATACTTACATATATAAAATATATTGCACTAATAGAATACACTTTGGTTTGGAAACATAGAAACCTTAATATTTGAAAGGTAGTTTATTTAAGAAATACCTTGAGGTAGACTATCTGAAAACCTAGATGGCTTGGAAATTTATTTTCTAGCACAATGTAAGGTTTTCAACTCCACTTGGCAATAATAGCACAGAGCTATTTTCATCTTTTCCCTAAGGAGACTTTCTATCTTACATGTATGCTTTTATATACTTACATACATTTTAATAATCCTAACATTGCTTCTAACAATGCCAAACATTCAGTTGATTAGGCAAACATGTTCCAATGT